GAGATGCTGATAAAGATAATGATGATGATGAAGCTGTGTAATCTTTTACAGGGATAATGATCACCTCCTAGGAAGGGGTTGAGTAGGAATTTTTTCTCTATTTGAGAGTTTTTGCCTACTCAAGGGACAGATTATTTTTAAACTTTTTATATTCTTAATAAATTTTACCTTTTTGCTTGAATTTTCCTTTTAATATTGTTGTGTTTTGCATATTAAACTTTGATTACTAATTCCCTATCTGCAAAGCATTCATGATGTATGTAGTGAAAATCTTTTTAAAAGTGATATATGCTGATGTGTTTTATGTATAATAGGGGGAAATGTTAGAGTTATAATTATAAAATTATGCTACATTTCTGTCCTGTGATTCAATCAGGAGGGTCATAAACTTTTATGACCTGCATCCAGTAGGTCATGAGGCAGAGTCACACGGTTGTGTGACTTCCATCCAGCCAGATGATCATTTCACACTGTCTTATGACCTGCATCCTGCAATCATTACTGGGTTTTCTGTTTAAGACCCGCCCTATTATGTTGTAAACTGTTAATAAAAGGCTTTGATGTGAAGGGATCTGTGAGAAAAAGGTGCTGGTTTTGAGCCAGCAGTCTTTCTCCCCTGTGCAGAGGTTGACGTTGCAAAAGTCCCTGTCTGTGTTTGATCATTTCGTCCTCTTAAACTCTTAAACTCACATTTCTCTGGATTTAAACCCAACACAAGTAGAATGTGGTAACTCATAACACCAACTGAAAGTAAACTTTAAGATAATGATTTACTCTTTTATACTTGTCCTTGAACATTGGTCTAATGAGTGTTATTTTAAGCAAAAAGTAAAACGTTGTAGCAAGTTGAAATCAAGTTAGAATGAAGTGTAATTATTTTAGCAAACAAGACGGAAGGAAACACAACACTAGATATTTATGGGTTTTAAATAATAATCACAAATCAAATAGATCTGTCTGAGTTTTAAGATTCTGGGAATTAATCAGGGCTGGACTGGGAGCAATTTGTAGCTTTGGAGCAGCGACAGGTCCACCTGATATAGATGAAAGGACAGTAAAACCCATGAATAGTAACAACCTTTTCTTTTGAAAGTGCAGGCATACTGTTTTTATTCTTTTTATTCCTTTTCTTTTATTTAGAATAACGTATACTGGTAAGTCTTTAGATTAGCAGGCATAACTTGGGGTTCCTATTTTTTGTTTTTGTTTCTTCTTAGATCCTATTACAATAGAAAACGAGCAAGGGGGCTTATTTTAGAATTTAAATCTTAAAGTTTTGTGGTTTACTTTATGGAGAAATCTTTAAGGCAAGCCTGTTGGTCCTGGGGTTCGGTGGGTGACCCTGAAACATTTTTTGCTGTGTTGTTGGTTCTGAAGTGAGCAGTTTTATACATCTGAAGACAGAGAAATTGCTCAGAGTGATTTTGTTTTTTGTGGTTTTTTTGCAAACGTGTACACCAGAAAATAAGAAAAATAATTTAAAAAAAAAAGTAAGTTGCGCGTTCTGCTGTGGGTAACGGTTGAAAGTCCGATTGAAGGTCCTGCACAGATGCGGGGCGGAAAAGGCTATCAATATTTGGGTGTCACTTTTCCCGTACCGTCCTATTAGGACACCTACGAAAGAAGTAGTATCTTCTAAATAGCAGCTATGACATTGGTTTGGCTTTCCCTAAGAAAGCTGAAACAAGCGGGGCTGCGGGGATACAAGTTGAAACAGACTCGGTAGCTTATAAAACAATGGTCTAAAGTGCTAAGGGATCTCACTGACTCCAGTGTAACTGTCTGATATAAGAACAGTGTGTGCAGGAGAAAAAAGGATGGATACATTTTTAGCTGTGACATTCTAACAAATAATGGTGAACTAGATAGAGTAAGAACTCCGGGGACGCTTTAAAGACCTGCTTGGGTTGATTCAGTTATGGTGAATTGAAAACTGAAAAAATTTGGATGTACAAGGGGCATATGGAAATCATTGGGTGTGAAAACTTATTTTGGTGTCTAATGTGAGCAAATAAATCTTGGCTGTCTAGGATCAGCCAGCCTGCTCCCAGAAGAATTTGGTAGGGAAACTCTAACCTGGAGATCTACAAGCTCAAGCCAAGCTAAGCCTCCACCAAGCCCTCAGCCTGCTGTCAGCCTCTGAACCCTCCTGGTTTTCTCCCCCTCTGCTGCTCTGCTCAAACTCCAGGACAGTAACCCAGCCATGACCAGCCCTGGACCTGATTACCCCCCCCGACCTGTTTTTGCACCTCTTCTTTAATTAAATCTTTGAACTTTTTCCCTGTCTCTGAGTTGTGTTCTGCATATGGGCTAGCATCCAGAAACCCATCATGACAGCCGGAGCTGATTGCTACCACCTGTCGCTCATCTGCTCATCAGGAGATCTGTATTTAAGGAGGCAGAAGACTTCTCTCCAGTGCCAGAGTGTTTGCCAGTTACGATTGAACCTGTCTGAAACCTGAAACCCAGAAGAGTGTCTCTGCCGGTAATCTGCCTGTCTGTTCTCTGAAGAACCCTGGAAAATTATTCCTGTCAAAGACCTGCCTGCCCGCTCTCTGAAGAAACCGGAAGGGAAACTTTAATCGGTAATCTGCCAACACTCAAACCAAGCTCTGCCTCTGCCTAGCCCTCAGCCTGCCTACAGCCTCTGGACCCTCAAGGTTCCCCCCTCAGCCGCTCAGCTCAACTCCTGTACAGGTACAGCCCTGCACACTCTCATCCTGCAAATTACCTGGACCTCCACTTATTCCTCTGTCCCCCTCTGCAGCTAACCCACTCGTGACCAGTCCTTGACCTGTTAACTCTGTGTGCATTTCAGTATCCACTCGTGACCAGACGAGTTCCCCTTGGGATCTGTTTATTTATTGTATTCCATCTTCTAAATAAACCTTTGAACTTTTATCCTGTCTCGGAGTGTTCTGCATGTGGGTTAGGCACCTGAAGCCAAACATGACAGAAGATCGATCAAAAAATTGTCACTGATGGATTAAACAAACTTTATGTGGCCAATGTCTGTCTGTTTGTCATTTATGTGGAATGCATGTGAGGTAGAATGGTGGTATGGTGCATTTTGAAATTATCTAGAATAGTTTTTGATGTGACATTAATATGATTTGCATATTTACAGAATTTAGAAGGAGCTCTAGGGACATAACAGAAGGGGAATCGTATCAAACATGTTGTTCACAGGCTCCAAATATGAGAGGCTCTGACAAAACCAGAGCAGGTTGCTGTTGTAAGGTGTGCAGTGTTGGACATGTTACTTTGAAAAAGTAATTAGTTATAGTTACTGGTTACTTCTCCCAAAAAGTAACTGAGTTCCACAATAAAAGTAACTAGTTACTAGTAAAAGTAACTTGTTACTTTTGCGTTTCTCGCCCCGTTACCCTCACCACCCGGCCCCCACCTTCTCGCCGTGTGTGTCAAAAGCTAGCTGAATAGAGTGTACGACAAAGACAAGTTCCTGCAGAGAGTTTACATTTATTGCAACTCAACATAAATGACATCAGGGGGGAACGCTGACGGGCCTATAAACCCTGTCAGATAGCATTCGCCCCCTTCTTAACATGGGGGGAATGCTATCTGATGTGGTGTAAATATCATCAGGCTGCATTTGTCAGGGTTTGGTTGTGGTTTGGACCCAAATGCAGAGGCAGACAGGCTGAGGAGATTTCTGGGTAGTTTAATGGGGCAAAAACAGCAACAAAGGCAGGAATCCAAAAATCCAACTAATAATCAAAAGGCAAACCAGAACAATGGAGACATCTGGGGAAAACCAAACACAAGGAGCCAGGG